TGAAAGGTATTCACACATCTCATGGAAAACCTAAGCAACTCAAACTCAAAGACTTCCCTTTTAGAATGACTGGACTTCATAACAAAATGAAATTGTCTATCATTCGTTACAAATTCAGAGGTCTGTAATTACTCATATTTTCACTTAGGCCCAAGTATTCCCACTGAAATCAGTGACCAGGATTTTGCATTAGGAAATTAGTTGATCTTCAGTTTATACAATTGCATTGGGACTGACTTTTCACCTGTACTATTATTGAATACATTAGACCAAATTTGGCCCTGATTTATGTGCCTTGCAACCCCCAGGAAATCAGTGGAGGATTTGAGGGACGAAACCCTAATGTAGTCAGCGGGACTATAAACAGGCAGATGCAATTGCAGGATTGGGGCAGGAATGCCCAATCTTTCGAGGTACTGAACACTTCCAAGACGGTTCTGAGTGTGTGCATTACCTGCTGTATACAGTGGGTACACTTGAAAAGTTCATGCTTGTTCTGGAGGTATTACCAGTTTCAGACGTATTCTCCTTGTTAGGCAAAGAGAATATCACCACAATCTATAGTATTTTGAAAACTGTCAAAAAAATTAGGTCACTGTATATATAGAATGGTGGGTACTCAGCATAACTACCAAATCTAGGTACATATACTTACTTACCCATTTTAATGTTCTCTTCATTTTAGATGTGCAGATTTGACTAATAATAATTAATACCTTTCACTTGTTTAAATCTATAAACTCAAATGAGAAAAATAAATAGACAATAGTTCATGGAATTCCAAATCCTTATAACTTGTATGTCAAAAAGTGTCATAAACAGAGGAATAGAAAAATAGGAACAATATGGTGCATTTTTAATTTTGTAAAATAAATTTTGTGTGTGTATGTGAGTGTGTGTGTGTGTGGGGGGGGGGGAATTGGCAGTACAATTATTTTCTATTTCCTAAAGTTAATATATTTTAATATCAATCTTCCAAAAGCTACTTCTATGGGAGATCTTACTGGAAAGAAAATCACTTACAGGTTTATTTTTTAATTGATCAAACAGCCACATTTTAGGCAAGAAATTTAGCCCATGACTGTTTTGTTTATGTATAACCAAATATCGCTGGGATTTTCTAAGGCACCTAAAAGAACTGGTTGATCAAATCCCATTTCAGTAGGATTTGGATAACTAATTCTCTTAGGCTTCCTTGAAAATCCCAGCCCACGTGAATACCATGTACTGCTGTCACAGTGCCTACGATGACTGTTCCTAATTCTACCAATGGAGAATTTGTATTGGGTGTCCCACCTTGGCCACAGAGTGCAAGGTACCTTTTCCTCTATACAAGTATTTAGAAAGTGCTCAAATGTCGGAGGAGCTAGCCCCCCTCCTCTGTGAAAGCCAGTGTGAAACTGCCATTTTAATTAAGGACAGGCACAACATGCACTTCTTAGGGCACATTATATACTTCGTTGATATTTTAAGTTCAGCATACATATACCCTGTATTTAAAATTGAGAATACTGCTGATGCCAGGAATACCTCTAAAACTAAAGTGAACTTTCAAGTGCACCTTCTGTATATGGCAGGTACTGAGCCCCCTCAACTCAGCTGTGACATATATGGCGGTTGAGGCCACTTAGAACCTAATGACCAAAGTCTGCCCTTTAAAACATATGTGTGATCGCTACAGAAGTTAACGAGAGTGGCTTGCACATAAGCAAAGTACATGTCAGAAATAAACAGGGGGAGCACATCACAGCAATTTCATGGCTGAACTCACGCTTGGAGGATCTGCACTTTTTTCTGACATCCTCAGAACCTCTCAAGTATGTTATAGCTTCATATTCTCTCAAGGAGTGGGAAGGGGGAGTAAGGAGCAAACTTTACAGATGGCAGTATGTCAGTTCCTGTTCTTTATTAGCACAGGTGGTATTTCTTTAATTTATTTTTTGCCTGTAGGATCTCCTCCCCACATATTCTGCCAATTTATGGCAGGAGGCAATCAAACACTTTGGAAAGAGATTTTATTCCTCAATTTCTTTTGCCTATGCAAATATCACCACTAGTTAGGATGGCAGCCAAAAGAAACTCAAATACAGTTCCCAACCAAGGATTGAATAATTAGCTGTTTATTTGTCTTTCAAACTCTCTGCTTCCTTTTTGAGATTTCCCTCCTCCCCTTCCTTCTAAAAACTTCCAACTTCTGCATCCCTATATATCCTTCATTATATATAGACATTTGTCTCTTTTCTCAACTTCCCTCTAGATAATGCCATGCTATACTGCCTAATGAGTTTGGTCATGATTGTCCACAACTTTAGAACTCATGTAATTAATTACACCTATGCAAAGTGAATGTAAAGGGCTCCAAATAAGAAATCTCCTCAATTACATGGATTGTAGTGGTTTAAACCCACTTTGTACTCACTTTGTATAGCTGAAAATGCTACACAATATGCAAGGCCAAGAAGGGCCAGACCCCTTTTATTACCCTGTGCCAGCAAGAGCTGAGAAGAGAACTGATTAGACTCATGCCAGTTTCACACTGTTACTGTTGCCAGAGCTGCTTTGTGGAAGAATAGTACAACTGGTGCGATCAACCACTAAGAGTTTGTCTGACAGGAAAGCTTGTAATGGGGGAAGAGGAGTGTATGAGGAAATGCAGGATACCTTCAACCTCAGACCAAATGTAGACTCCACATTGAAACACTTTTTAGCTAGTCAGAGAGCTCTCTCTCCATTTTAATAAACACCTCTGTAAAACCAATGTGATATTTTCCCCTATATCTTTTAAAATTTTATAATTTAACATAGTCAGTCCTGAGTGCAAAAGACTAGTTCAAAGGAACACATTAGCAGTGGTTTGGTATAAAAGTCAGTATTAACTGAATGTCTACACTACAATACTGAAATGAAATGTGTTGATATATGAAAACTTTGTTATTTAGAAATCCAATATCTGATTTAATATATTATCATTCTTTTTTGTTTGTTCTCCCCTATAGATGGCCAAATAAAACCGAGTTATTTACTAATAAAATTTGCTTCACTAAAAAAGCTCTTGAAAACTGTATATTATTGGAGAGTTCAGTATAAATGTTGGAAATCCTTAGACTACTGCATTTTTAATCTGGCTGGGGATTCAGTTGAAATCAACGCTATAATCTTTGTCAGTAATGGGATTTTTACTATGAGGAAACAGAATAATGCTCACAAAACATCTTTATGTTTGGAGTTTCACATACATACCATGCCCTTGAGTGTACATACTGACCAGTGCAGTATATATGTATTTTAATATACATATATATATATAATATACATATATATATATATATAGTTATACATACACACATTGTATGAGTTAATACATATACACAAAACCAGACAAATATGAATCATTTGAATAAAAATGTACTTCCAACAACAGTATTTCTCTATTAAATCCATGTTTATTGCATAAGTTTTATCACAGTGGAGATTAAATTATGCTTAATCATCCGGTCAGTGCTTTTGTACCTTCACTATACCAAAAACAGTAAAAGCAACTCAGTCATACACTCAAAATCCTGTTACCATCCCACCACTCATCGCCTCAATGTGTTCCTTTAGTTGCCATGTACTGATAAGATTGTAAAAAGATATATCTCATCGGCTTATTTATAACAACATTTTCTTCAAGTATTCGGAAAGCAGTACAAATGTCTGTACCATATATTAGAAACATATTTGTAATGTTATTTATTGCTATAGAAGGGAGGCTCCTGATGGAATGATAATGAAATATAATGTCACTGTGTATGAAGATGATCTCAGCATTCTGTCATTTTCACAACTCTTCCCATGTTAGTGAACAACACAAGATAAATGGGCTTCTTTTCTTCCTCTGTCATTCGTGGGATTTCAAACTATAAATAAACAATGTATACACTCACAACATGTGTAGTGCAAATTCCAAGTAAACAGAATGACATGGAAATAAGACATAGTTGCCAACTTTGGTTCAGCAAGACAGCTCTGATTTCATGACTAGTGCCCTGCATCCCCACTCTCCATTCAAAGCCAGAAAAGTTGCATGTCAGCTACAATGATTGACAGAGATTGTTGAGGGATGGGGCCATAGTGGAGAGCAGAAGAGACAATCTCTATACACTGTGTTTGGTTTGCGAGGTTTAATGTCACGCATGACATAAAACCTCTAAACATGCATTGGTTACCAACCCAGAGAACCCATCCCATGTTCAGAGACTTTAGTGTTGGCAACTATGTCAGGGACTGTGTGGTCCAGACCAACATAAGTTAATATTTTTTCCAGATAGAACTGTTGAAAGAGAACATCTACAACACTGTGATTTAGAAAAAAACTTAATACTATAATAATAATTATTAGGAAAGACATTCAACTTTTCTTAAACAAACCCCAAATAATGGTTTGCTTCTGCATTGCTCAAGGGCCATGGCAAACCTTCTGCACTGAGCTTAGGGCCAAAAAAAATTTTCTGAGTTTCATTTATTTTTCTTAATTATGCATTCTAACCACACAGCCATTTTATTCATTTAATTAAAACTCCTACATTTCTTCCAGTGGAATAAATTATTTATGTAGGGAAAGGCAAATAAAGCCCCATAAAATAAAATAAAAATAAAACATACATAAATATAAAATTTACAACTTATCCTAGATTAATCAAAATCCCTTTCTCTAAAGCAATGGCAAAGAACAGAAGAGTTATATAGCCTATTGGGGGGGAAAGCAGTACATATTTTTACCATTTTTCTTCAATGTTCAGTTTTGAGAAAGTTCTTTTTTATGGCTGCATTCTCAATCTGCAACTTAATTGCTGCGTGTCAAACACTGGGAAAGATGACTTTATTGAAACATCATTCTTAGGCAACATGTCAAACCTTTAACAAATATAACACAGAGCTAGCTCTAAAATTCTCTCAGCTAAAAGAGGGATATATATATATTTAAAATAAAAATAAGAAAATCTTTGCAAGTAAAAGGAAACCTTTCCTTATCTGGGACACACACATTCAGGTTTAAAAACTGGGAAATCATAAATATGGTCATTGAATTACTTCAGAGAATTAAGGCTTCTAAAAACGTCAGTGCCAAAATAACCTCTCTGCATCAGTATTAAGAATAAAATACATTTTGCATTTTAGGTTGTATTTTTTGTTTTGTTTTTTAAAGATGTTTCTTAGTTCTGTAGAATCTCATCATATAAGATTACATACTGTAGGGGAGAGTTAGAACTGTTTACTGATGTTTTACTTTAAGTAGTTGTTAGACTAAGTTACAACGATAAAATTCAATTATTGATCTGATTCATTACTGTACATGGGGTAGTTGGCTCATTTCACCTTTTTTTCATGTTTAATGTGACCATTTCTTCTGTATTTGCCATTTGGTATCCCGTTGTGGTAATGTCCATTAATGGTGCTATGTTCATCACTTGACCAAAGATGTTTGCTTTGTTTGTGGATAAACTTTGCTATCCTGGCCAAAATGTAGTAAAATAAGGCAGTACCAAGTAGTACAACAAAGGCAACATCCAGTAAGAAATACTGATAAAAAGAGATGGTGTAAACAGCAGCACGTAGATGTTGTGCTCCATTGTGTCGGAGGATGTAATTAATCCAGTACACTGTCCGATTAACAGGATGCCCGGGTTGGTCCTTGTGAATTTCAGACAGCTTTTGGGCCCGTTGCCTGTAGCTGCGGGAAAGAAACAAACAATGTGACAAATTAAAAATATTATCTTGCTCTCAAATGACAAGTGTCCATGTGAACAGAGAGATGTACTTGAATTTCTCCATATTGAGTGGGGTATTTTGGTAGGAAAATGACAAAGAACAGCAGGTTTTTGAGATGCACTATAGGACAGGTGAGTCCTCTTCAATTCAATAGTAAAAGTATTCAGAGAAAAATAAATACTGACAATAGTTGTACCTACATTTATATCTGTACATATGTTAATATGAGGTAAAATTCACCCCATGCAGAGAGCCAGCAGAAGGGTTTAAATGGGACTTTAGTGATGCATTGCCCTTCTGTTGGCCTTCTACATGGGGTGAATTTTATTCACACTGAAAAATAAACAAAACAAATTAGAGGAATTCCCCCCCACACCACTAAAATAGACACATACTCTGTCCAATATATTGTTCATTTATACTCCTGTCCAACGAAATATGGAAAATAATGTTGCCAGTTATTAGAGAGATGTAGAATAAAGTGATATGCCCTGTCTCTAATGTAGTCTGAACAGATTTTTATATTGTTTGACACTAGATCTTTCATGTTTGGGATGCATTTTTTTAAATTTATTTTTTAGTATCAGAATGCCCTGATCATGGGGATTCCCTTTTCCCTTTATTTCAGGACAAACAGATTACTAATGGGGACCTCCCCTCCTCAAATCAGATAACTGTACAGTGGAAGGCTGATGTAACTGGGATTCATGAGATTTCCTTTGAAACTTCCTACGTAGGTATTTTTTCCTTCATTAATACCCTTCTCCTACTGACTATTTTATTTACTCATAGCATTGTCCTGCCCTAAGACAATAAAAGTGTCACCCACAGACACTGTCCCTATCAACTCGGTAAGTTGTGTCCAAAGCTCCTACAGTGTAATGCACTAGACAACTAGCTAGAACATTGACCTATTTAATTTAGGAATAGTCTATGTGCTACAAATGATAACATGCATTTGGAATAAGGATCTAATATATGAATATTCCTCCTCTTAAGTACCATGGGACAACAGGTAGCATTTAGCAGTACTATAATCACTGGGTTTAGCAGTTGATTTTCTTACATAAGTTATAATGTGAACACAGGCACACTCCTTGAGAATGTGAGCTGTCATCAACGGCAATAGTCTTGATGACAGCATGAGTTTGTCACTATAACAAGACTAAGTGAAATCTCTCACACAATCATATGCTATAAAACCAACATGCTTTTGTTCACCACAGGTTGCTAACAGCTTATAGTAATTTATTATCTGTTAATGTGACTTCTCCAGGTTCTTTTCTGCAAGCCCAGAGTGGGTGTAACTTCTTCTACCCTGCAGATGGAGACAGAAGAGAAGCCATATGCTTGGTGGAACCCCCAGATATAAAGGTCTCTAAAATCTGAAAAAGAATACCTCTGCCTTCCTGTTTGTTTGTTTGGGAAGCCATCAGGGCCCTTTCACAGATTCTGCATTTTTGACAAATCATCGTAGATGTGAACTGGTGATATTCCCATTCCCCTGGCTGACAGTGACTCTGAATCAGTTAGTGTTTTCTTAGAATGCAAGACTCACTCAATATAAAAGGTCAATAGGAACAGTTAATTTCTTCTGTGCACAAGAGACAGAGTAGTCTTTGGCTGCCCTATCAATGTTCTTCATGCCACTCTGTTTACATGTGCCTCTGTGGTGCTATTATGTCTTTGGATCCTTAATATCTTGCCCTTCATCCTGTCACTGAATAGTAATAACATGCCAGACCATCCAGCAGGAGCGGCGCCAGGGTTTTTGGCGCCCTAGGTGGGGGTCCTTCCGCGCTCCTGGTCGTCGTCGGCAATTCTGCGATTGGGGGGGGTCCTTCCGCGCTCCCGGTCTTCGGGGCACTTCGGCGGCGGGTCCCGGAGCGAGTGAAGGACCCGCTGCAGAATTGCCGCCGAAGACCCGGAGCGTGGAAGGACCCCCCGCTGCCGAGGGCGGCAAAATGCCGCCCCCCCAAATCCTGGCGCCCTAGGCGACCGCCTAAGTCGCCTAAATGGAAGCGCCAGCCCTGCCATCCAGTCTCCAGCCTGTCAAAAGAGAAAGCGCTCTCTGCTACAAGACTAGTGGACACTTCATCCAAAGTGTCTGTCATGATAACTGTGTAAATTAAGGGGACATCCAAGAGCAAATTCAGCCAGAAAGACTTGTCCTCTAGCCACCAAGTGAGAGAGGACTTCAGATATAAGAGTAATGGTAAGCAAATAGAATCAGACTGGAGTGACTAATACATGTGCCAAACTGAAGTGTCTGCAGATGAAAACATGACAATTGTAGTTCCAGACATGCCAACATAGAAGCCAGCTTATGAACCCAGGCTATTATTGAGTCCAGCTGAATTATGAGAGAAACTCAAGACCTCAGATTCATAATTCTTTGTAGAGATGATAATATTTTACTGATCAGCTTGAATGACACACCTCTGCCCCAAGATAAATCTGCTTCTGGGATGAGAAAAGAGAACCTTGTGTTTATTCTAAACCAAGCTGTGGGCAGACAAGGCAAGGTTACTCTTTTGTATCCATTATACCATAGGACCCAGACAACAATTTTGGATCAGCTACAATTCAAATATTCCAGCTGATGGAGCCAAATATATGCATAAAATATGTTTAAACCTCTCTGTCAAAACAGCAAAAAATGACCGTTCTACATGTTACTACTGATTCATAGTGATTCCATCAAGACAGATATACAGATGCTTTGCTTTACAGAGAAGGATAAAGTGTGTGGGGAAAGGGCCAGTTGTTGTCCTTGAAAAATATAGGATTAATGGTCAGGGATCTTCATCTGGTGACTGTATGTGCTAACAAGAAAAGTAAATGAGGATAATGATTTTTAATATGGCAGATAGAATACTAATTATTGGAAAGATTTGTCTGCATTATGTACAGGACCACATTTTAAAGGAATGACTTTTTGTGTATCCATAATGCCTGCACTTCTTTGTGCATATTGGACAACCAGGCAGGAACTCAGCTGTGTGCAGAAATCTCCATTTGCGTAAATATCTGTGCATACAAATCGTCATATGCATAAAGATTTAACCTAATGACAATTAAAAAAACAACGTTTCCTTACCTGGGATCATTAATGACTTTCACCAGTGCTTCATATAGTTCATCCTCAGTAATTGTCTTCCAGTTTAATAATATTCCCATGCCTTTGGCCTGCACTCGGGTCATAGTATCATAGTGATCTCCAAAGAGGGGAATTCCCACCACAGGCACTCCATGGTACATGGTTTCAAAAATACTGTTCAAACCACCATGGCTAAGGAAGGCTTTAATGTTAGCATGACCTACAGAGAGGAAAAGTGAAGTAAAGGAAAGAAAATGCTTTACAAATATGTATATTATGTATCATAAAATTACTGAAATTAGAAATAGAAAAGAACAATTATCACATCCAGCAACTCTTCCCAATCAAGTATTATTTGGATAGTGTGCTGTTTTAAACCCTTTCTCAATTCATTGGTGAATAGATTAAACAAAACCAGCTTCCTACTGGATGCCTCTCTCTGCCAAATTAATATATTGCCATTTATCATTATCCTTAGTTTCCAAGCCTCTGTTTTTGTCCAAACCAATTTGAACGATTTTTTCAAATAAGATTTTGTGAGGCACAGTATAAAATGGTTTAATAAATCTGAGTATATCACAGCTCCTTTCAAATTTCTACGACTTCAGTTCAGGAAGTGCTCACAATTGCTTGAAGTTACATATGTGCTCAAGTACCTCCTTGAATTTAGGTCACAGAAATTTTGCAATCGATGTTTTCTCATTCCTTGTAGTCCAACATACAAGGTGGGATATATTCAACAAAATGAAAATCTCATTTCACACACATGGTTTAAAATAATTAATATAAATGGTAAGTGTGATATTGAGGGATTCTGACTAGGTCGACTCTAGCAGACCCTGAAGTTAAGTTCACATGGTATCCCCAGAGCAGCACAAAGATGCACATTCCAGGTATCCTTTCCTCAGGTTTCTGTTTAGAGTGGAAAGTAGCACTGAGTGGTTTCAGGTTACTCTGATTTGCTGGAAAAGTTGAAGGAATAATAGGATTGAATTGGAGCATCCTGTAAAGCCTTGTCTTTACTTTTATCTAAATAAAACATCAGTTTCATGAGGGACAAAAGCTGATTACTTTTAACAGACTGTTGTTGATTATTACCATTGGTACATGCTAACTTAGCATTATAAATGAACCAAGGAGAGAACCCTTATCCCCAAGAATTCATAGAATCATAGAATATTAGTGTTGGAAGAGACCCCAGGAAGTCATCTAGTCCAATCCCCGGCTCAAAGCAGGATCAACACCAACTAAATCTTTCCAGACAGGGCTTTGTCAAGCCTGGCCTTAAGAACCTCTAAGGATGGAAATTCCACCACCTCTCTAGGTAACCCATTCCAATGCTTCCCCACCCTCCTAGTGAAATAGTGTTTCCTAATATCCAACCTAGACCTCCCCCACTGCAACTTGAGACCATTGCTTCTTGTTCTGTCATCTGCCACCACTGAGAACAGCCTAGCTCCATTCATAAAAAAATAGGAGTCTTTAGTGACAGAATAATTAATTTCTTTGGGGTAAAATGGTCTGACTGTAACAGTAACAATATATTATTGTATTAAATAGAAGAATTTGACTTACTCAGTGCAATGTGGTTACCACAACAAAACTAGTTTAGTTAAAACGTATTTGCCTCATCACTACATTATAATTAATACTCTCTCTCTCTCTCTCTCTCTCACCCCCACCCACTTACTTACTTACTTTTTAATAAGTTACTCCTGAGAACGAATCTTTAGACTGGCATTGTTTTGCAAACAACTTCTAAGTAACCTAGAAGCAACCATAAGCTTTCATTGGGTCCTAAGCTCAGCAGTGTTTTCATACACTGTTGACTCAAAGTAAAAAAGCTCATGGGAATAAATCTTAAACATTCTTTAAAAAGAAACTATTATGTCTGAGATACAGTTGTTTGACTTCTTATTTCTCAGGTGCTTAGATAACACAGCTATGGCTTAATACCCTGATAAATAAACTGAGAGAGTTTGTTATCAATTTGTAATCCACATCCTATGCCTGATAATGCTTTGGTAGGAACAAGCAGCAAATATATAACCATATTGCCACACATACACATTCCTCAGGTTTCAATCAATTGTGTGTGTGTCTGTATGTTTCTGAATTTTCACTGAAAACATCAGCAAAGACTGCATATTTGAAGTGTTTGCTGGTAAAGCAAACATCATATAGTACTCAACTTACTAATAGTTACAGGTGAGCAGTGTTCCAAGATAGCATGATTCTAGTAAATTTCTACATAAGTGACTTCTCTTTTTAAAATATTATCTCATGATTGCATAGCTTTTGCAGTATATAAAGCTTTCTTCAGTGCAGTTGTCCCATTTATGAAGGCCACAAAGTCCTGTATTTTTTTTAAATCAGCTATGAAACTAAAAGAAATGTAAAATAAATCCTATCTCTTGAATCCTCTCAGCTCTCTTGGAGGTGGGCTAATGAAGTTCTATGAATTACCTACTACTTGGCCATCTTAGTTTTAATAGAACCAACCATTAGGAAAAGACATCCTGGTCCACACTAACCCCCCACTTCGAACTAAGGTACGCAAATTCAGCTACATTAATAACGTAGCTGAATTCGAAGTACCTTAGTTCGAACTTACCGCGGGTCCAGACGCTGCAGGCAGGCTCCCCCGTCAATGCCGCGTACTCCTCTCGCCGAGCTGGGGTACCAGCGTCGGTGGCGAGCACTTCCGGGATCGATCCGGGATCGATTTATCGCATCTAGACAAGACGCGATAAATCGATCCCAGAAGATCGATTGCTTACGGCCGGACCAGGAAGTAAGTATAGACCTGCCCATAGAGATGAGATTGGGGAAGGAGAGAAGGACAGTGATCTTATAGACCTCAGCAATTCTGACCAAGAGGATGGTCTGGGCTCAAGACAGGAGCTTTAAAGGAGACTCCACTGGGGTCCTCTTTCATCCCAACTTTAGCAAGGAATTTGTGTCTTCTCCGGTATAGTACATATAGGCGCGGACAGAACACAGGTTTCCCCTTGCTCAGATGTGGCCTGATCCACAGTCCATTGAATTCAATAGGAGTTTTTTCTACCAACTTCAAAGGCTTTGGATCAGGACTATGTTTTGTTGGACTGATAAAGGGATTTATACTGAGGTAAAAGGAATAAAACGTGTAACATATTATAAGCTCCTTGGGGCAAGGAACATATTTTGGTTTTGTGCTTATATAGAGCCCACCCTTAGGGAGCCAGGCCTCTAGCCACTACCACAATACAAATAATAAATGCATAAATAAATAAAATAAGAATAATTTATTGATTTACACTTTATCTGACTAGGGAAGACAGTGAACAGCCACTGAAGATACACCTGACTTAGTTTAGCACTTGCGTTTAAGAAAGAATTTTTTTTAATTTTGAGGAAAAGCCATGGCTGTGGTAGTGACTTTACACGACAGTCCAGGCACATGCATTTGTGGAGGAGTTCAGAAACATAGAAGATGGGCAATGTTTTGTGTAAGAGAAACTGCCAGATGACTGAAGGGATGAATTCATCAAATTAGTAAATTCATCAAATTTTGTGTTTGGGTATTCCTGGGTGGTTTTCCAGGTACAAATTCTCTTGCAGAATTCTGGCCAATAAAAGTCACTGACTGAGTCAAAGCCTGATTATTTTCAGTTGTTGGGAACATCATTACTATCTTTGCAGCAATCCAACTGTCAGACACCATAGATGTTGTAAGCGCTTAACTAAAGATGGCACCGTCTTTGGTTCTTTTGGAGTTCCTAATTTCAAGCCATTTGATTATTTAACAAAAAATGAATGTCTTTCAACTATTATGACAACCCAATGATAATAATAATCAATTTGCCTTAGCTAGCACTTTATATACTCAAAGAGTTGTACAAACATTAACTAATCAATTACCACTTTAGTGATGGGGAAACTGAGGAAAGATAGCAGGACCTGATCTTTAGTGTCATAATGTTCTGAAAAAGTTTTCCTTGAGATTTTAAACACTGAGCTCAATTAGGTTTTGGTTGGTTGTAAAGTATTAGCACGAGAAGTCCTCCAGATAAGTGGCATATTTAAATTTTCAAATTTTAAAGGTTTGGATTTTGTTGAAACTCCCCCAGCAAAAAAGCAAGCAAACATGAAAACAAGCAAACAAATCCCTCTAGATTGAGAACCACCATGGAAAATTTACAGATGGAATGGAGAACTTTTCAGAAAGTTGTAAGCAACTGAAAATGGAAGTCTGTTTTTTTCTCCTTCAGTTATATTCTCAACATATGACAAACTTCACTAATTAGCACAGGATTATTACTTTTCTTTTGCACTCAGAGCATAAAAAGTGATTTATTTACCTTGACTTCGTTCTGAGTTCTACATTCTTACCGCACTATTTCTGGTATAGAAGTTGGTTGTTTTAAAATAACAAATTTTACAGCACTGTCAACTGGATATACTTTGATTTAAAAAAAAGCAAGCTTTCACCACATTTTGTACTCACCAAGGAGGTCATTTTGTGGTAACCATTCTCTGAGTTTTGTATTGTTTCCTAAATTCTTCGGCTTGCTGCCTGAAAACCTAAAATGCACAGCAGACAGCAATCTTTCAAAATAAATTCTCAACAGTTCTGAAACTGATAGACTTGAAACACACATTCAAATCAAATGATCCCTGAATATTAAAAACAGTCATTCACCTGGGGAAAGGATTTATTTATGTACCATTACATGGAATTGGAGTTGTGTCAGCAGGTCAGACAGTTCCAATGGTACAAAGTAATTGACCAATAACTACAGAGTAATTTCAGTTATTTCGTTTTCCTACACTCTGGCTGACAGATAAATATGTGTGTCTGATTTGCGTAATGGCAGTATAGTTTTTTATTTAATACGCATACAAATCCCTGTGTGATGCTGTATGATTGAAACATGACCATTTATATAATTGATATTTCCACTGTTAGGGTATGTCTACACCCAGCCGCTAGTTCGGCTGCTGGCAATCGAAGTTCTGGGTTCGACTTATCGTGTCTTGTCTGGACGCGATAAGTCGAACCAGGAAGTGCTCGCCGTCGACTGCGGTACTCCAGCTAGACGAGAGGAGTACCGCGGAGTCGACGGGGGAGCCTGCCTGCCACGTGTGGACCGAGGTAAGTTCGAACTAAGGTACTTCGAACTTCAGCTACGTTATTCACGTAGCTGAAGTTGCGTACCTTAGTTCGATTTGGGGGTTTAGTGTAGACCAAGCCTTAGACAATGCAACAAACCCTGTTTAAAGTATGTCATGTAAGGTGTCAATGGAAAAGCTATGATTTGCTAAAGATGATTATTCTGTTTAAATCCATATATCATCTCTGTATCTGAAGTTATGAATACTGGCTATAGATCTATTTCCCAAATGTGTTTGTTCCAGGGGGAACACCCACCAGGTAAAATCATCATTGAAGCCAGACAACTTTGTGTTGATGGCCATTCAAAGGCAATTGACTCTCACAAGGGGCACAGAAGAAGCTTATCCCACCCAGCAAGTCTTCCTGTGGACGCCTTAGCCTCCAAGTGGGCAATGGCTGCTCCTGTGAGTCATCAAAGCCATGTAAGAGTATGTGACTTGACCTGTGACCTTGGGCTCCATCTTTTGCCTGTAATTTTTGGCAAACTGAGACTGTGAGCTTTGTTTGGGATAGTAAAATTCCAGTCACATGGTATAGGGAATAAAAGACCCTGGAACATCTCCATTTTGTCTTCATTTCCTGCTTCATTTCTCTGGACTGGATGAAGCTCTAAACAAGGATTTGATGACCCCCAAGCCATTTGAGTAATTTCCAGAGAGACTTTTGCAAACAAGCAGTTTATTCCATCACTGCTTCAAATCTGATAGAAGAACTTTGCAATCACTTGTATTTATGATTTCTGTCACCATTTTAATTCTCCTCTTCTTTCTTTATAAATAAACCTTTGGATTTTAATTACTAAAGGATTGGCAACAGCATGATTATTGGGTAAGATCTGAGTTATATATTGACCTGGGTATGTGGCTGATCTCTTGGGATAAGAAAAACCCTTTGTTTGATTAAATTGGTTATCAATAACCACTCATCATAAAATCTAGTGTCTGGGTGGTGAAATAAGTGCTGGAATGCCTAAGGAGACTGCATTTTTGACTTCTTGTTAACCGGTGTTAACCAGAGACAGAAGTTTACTTTTGTTAATGGCTTGGTATAATCTAATGATAGAATAACCACCAGTTTGGGGGGTGAGTCTGCCCTATTTCTCAGCAGTTTGTCCTGAATCTGGTATTCTCAGCTGTGACCCATTGAGGCACGGTGTATCCCTAATACTCTGATAAGCTGAAGTCTATTATTAAATAGAGCAGAAGGTTTGAATAATCTCTCTATGGGCATTTTGTTGAATGAGAAAATATTAATAAAGCTACTCTGACTGGCTACTACTATATAAATCCCTCTACTCAGTACTCCCCATCAACATATCCATAACAAACACAGCTCAATGTGTGACTTCCCTTTGCAATCATGCAACCTCCCCTAGGTCCTAACAATAAAAACTATTTAAAAGGAAATACTATCAGTGGTAAGAGGGGAGAGAGGGCTAAGTCTTCCCCAAGGGGCAAAAATCTAATACAAAGACTTAGGGTTCAGGCAGGGAATCAGAACTAGAGGCAGCCATATTTACTGTGGCTAAGATTTTCAATGGCAGTTGGGTGTCTTAACTCCCTTAAACTGATTTGAAAATCCCAACCTGTAGGATTATGGATTGGTAATTATGAAGGTGCTTAGGGATTTATAGCAGGCAATCATAACACATTTAATAGAGGGGGGAGAGAAAGCAGAACATAACTACTTGGGGAAGCTCCCTGTTTGCTCAGCCATATCTTGGGTTAAGGACCTTTGATTTCAGAGTTTATTTCACCCAGAATATAGTTATTAGTTGGAAAAGAAGGAACATCCTCATGTTACCAGTTAAATAAATAATACACCATTGTATGGCTTGTACTATTTAGGCTGCACATTCTGTGCATTTCTTAAAAAGCTATGCTATTTACCAAAAATATATAAAGTAAAAAATAAACTATGTCATGGTCTTTGGCTACAATTTGACGGAGAATATATATAGGAAAGCAATAAAAGAGATTTACCTAACAGTAATTTTATTTATCATACTCCTTCTCTTTCCCCATTTAACACAGAAAAGAGTAATGACAAGCAGAAGTATTTTTCTACTTAAAAGGTCAGTTATACAAGATCCACTTCTTCTTCGGCTATCCCTCGATGTGAAGATGATGTCTGCCAAGGGGGTTCATTGGGGAATTTTTAAGTGGATGAGGAGCCCAATTCTTGCCCTGCAGATTTTCCCACAGAAGTGACAGGTGTAATCTTGGAGGAGACATAGTTGTTGGCTGGACTGTTGTGGCCTTTCTTTCCTCCTTTGTCACTTCTCTGTCTCATGAGCACGTCTGTTCTCCTCAAAGTGACTTCCCCCTGTGGCTTGGTGTATGGTGTGGTGCCACTGTGTTCTGTTCCGCGCCAAGTCCTCCCAGTCTTTTGGGTTGGTGCCTCCCTTTTTAACACATACTTTCAGTACGTCTTTGAAACGCTTCCACTGCCCTCTGCACAGCACACCCACTTCAAACTCAGGAAGAGACTTCCATAGGTGAATGATCAGAAGAACATGGTATGTAAAGTAAAATTCCTAAATTCATATTTAGGCACCTCATTAATTAAGTAGCCTGATTTTCTAAAGTGCTGAGGACTAAGCAGCTCCCAGTAAAGCTAATGGGAGCACCTGGATGTTCAGCTCTTCTGAAAATCAGTTCACTTACTTGAGTGTTTAAAACTGAAGTGGAGACCATGACAAGCAAGAAAACAGTAAATAATTTCTCTTGCTATTCATCTCTTTTTCACCCATCCCACAAAAGAAAAAATTACTGGACCAGCACCCTTGTAATATTGCGCCAAAAGCCATTTAGTAGAGATAAGCTGGTAAATAGAGTTGGTCCAAATATTCTTTTTTTTCCCTCCTGCCCAGGAGAACCAGTTTGTCAGGGAAGAGGTCATCTAGCAACAAGTCAGCTGGTAGGGGTCTGTGATCACTTACGAAAGCTGATCAGGGAGTCTCCTGACATAGGAGACTGGGAGGTTATAAAAGGGCAGAGCTGGTCTACGCTGTGTCTTTGGCCATTTTCACCAGCTCAAGCTGAAATTAACTGCTGCAGGAACCTGCTGCCTTCTTGAACACCAACAGTTCCCTAAGGGGAGGGTGAGTTAGAGTGAGAAGCATTATGCTCAGGCTGTTTGTTGTTTTCTAAATAATCTGTGCCCTCTTGGTGTTTTTTCTCTTACGGGCAATGATGTTGTAGAATACTCTGCAAAGTCTGTCACTTTTGAGACAAACATAAAACTTAAACATAAAGAATGGGACAGGGAGGGGCCAGAACACTGGATCACTCAGTTCAATGCTGTTTAGTAATAATGATAATTAATAATTAAGAATAAATAAAGCATACATAACTACAGCAGGAACAACAGCTACCAGAAGGTAATGAAATGTTGCTCTCCTGGAGAAGGGCAATTTGATATATTTTAAATAAAGTGCTGCTCTCTCATCCTGAGCAGACTCCAGAAGGGAGATTCAGGATTAATATTCTTCATTTCCTGTTCTAAATTGTTGTGTTGCACTGCTGTGTGCTGTCAAACATTTGCATTTAGCAAAAGTGCTGTCACTGATAGTAAAGGAGTGGCTCTATAACTCAAACCAGGAGATGCTGGAAATGCAAAATTTCTCACCCACTCCTACCTAATTATTGTTACACAGCAAGCTAAGGAATGCAAGCACCTATGGACCAGTCTGAGATTTCTAAGTTTCCAAGTGAGATTGTGAGGATGCCTTATGCTTAGACAGAGGAGTCTCCACATCCATGTGATCTCCTAATCACTCCAGACAAGCAAAGGGAGAGATATTTCTCTTTCCCTCTTTGTGTTTAACAGGCAAGATAAAGACAAGGATGAGGGCAAAACAAACAACAGGGAGTTGCAGGCAAGGAAGACAGACAGACAGATTGAGACAAATGGAGACAAAGGAGAGAGAAAGACAGTTCAGAGGACAAGAATTTCCTACCTGAACAAAGGTTCTTGTTCACACACAGCCCTTTCTCCCTTCCTGTCATGTTTGTTTCCCTGGCCCCATCCCCAACATGAAGTCAATAGGATAATGTCATTCCCAATTCCTAATATGAGGTCTTTAGCTAGCAGTGATGTTTAAAAGCCTCAAATGATTGTTATACATACCCTCACAAAGTTCCTCATATTGTTCTATCTTTTTTTCTGGCTTACATCCCAGTGCTTATAACCTGAACTGCACTCTGCTAGGAGACTGCTGTGTTTCTGACTACAAGGACAATGCTGCAAATCCAGCTTCTGTGAGAAAGTGGGGAGGGAGGTTAAAAAAGGGCAATAAATATCACCTTTCATGAAAGAATTACATCCCTCCTGCTATCCTGCCTATCTACATTCTGTGTCTCAAATTCAATTTGCTTCCAAACCAGGACAGTCCAAATATGAGGTGAGAAACCTTCAAATCTACCGCAGACATGTATTATACTGTAGTTCTTACCTCCAGATAACCCTCTGAGGAAGTCTTGCCAGGGCATATGCTAATTTATTTGCTATGTCTTCTGACAAATATTTCACTCCAGCTCCAAATGAGACAAGGACAAAGCCATTTTCATTAGCACCATTCACCCATGTTTGAAGATCCTGTGGAAACAAACATTTGCACTGAGCATCGTAAAACAAGCATCAGAATAAAATTACCATTGCATACTGGAAATATGTCTGTCTGTCACTGCACAGCTTAGCAGTGCTTCACGAGGCGTTTGAATTTTGGAAATTAGGTAGTATAATAACCAAGAGATTCAGACTACATAACTGATATTTTGAAAGTTATTAATATTAAATTTATCCCTAGTTTTGGGTTTAATTAAAGCCTTTATATTAACAGCCAATATAACGGGTCAAGAGATTCTTTCCTAATTTGTTAAGGTAACAAATATTGTTTACATATAGAAGCAGATTTGCATCTGATCTCAGATAGACAGGTACACATAGCTGTGTATTTTGAAAAATCAGCTCATGTGCCTGCAAATGCACAATAGCAAGGTATATGCAACATATGAATAAAGCCCAAAAACTAACCTCCAGAATCCGAGGTTTTGCCTTAATCAAAGAAGGGAAGGAACTTTAAATAGAGGGTTTTTTTAAAGGGCAAAGATATTTTATTATGTTGTTATAAGTACAAAAGAGTAGAGAACTAGGGATTTGGAGAAACAGATAATTTCTTCTTATAAAACTGGAGTTAACAGTACTGAACAACAAAATGTTCACTTCACAAGCTATTTTATTTTTGGCAATCACTAGGAATAGCCAGATCCTAGGCTTAGATACTTCTTTACCTTTGAACTTCACTGAACGCCTCTTTAGTTTATTTAGATAGCCATGCGCAGCATTCCAAAGACATAAAATAACAATATTATAAAATAACACTGCCCCAAAACAATCAAAACCTTCTACACAAGTTAAAAACCAAAGCTGAAATCTTGACACCATTGAAGTCAAAGGCAAACCCCCCCCCCATTGACTTCAGTTAAATCAGAATTTCACTATGAAGACTATATTAAAATATACAAATATACCAAAGGCAAATTTCTTCAGTTCTGTCACTAAAGTACATATATGATACAAGATATACAATATGCAAATAGTCAGTTTTCTTACACTGTACTCATATGTTTTACCACTATTTCTTTAGTTCCTCTAAATGTTCTCTAAGCAGCAAGCCGCCTGCAATGGCATTTCTGCAGAACCCCTTCATGCAAAAACTATATACACCTCTAACAAGCAATGTAACAGTGGAAGAGGTGAAAGTGCACATACTTTTATCACTTAGGAATTTAAGGGGTTTTCAGATTCACCCTGCAGTGTAAGCTAATAAAAGTTGTGAATCTTCAATGAATTACATGAGGAAATATGCTGTCAGATTAAAAAAAATCAATCATCCTAACACTATGTACTGAAAGAACAGTAGCACAGACTGGGATGCCTTCTCTAGTACATAGCACAATTAAAGCCTTGTAATTACTGTACTGCACAAGCACTCATTCATCTCCAGGTTAAGCCAGATTCTGCCCTTCAGAATTTCAGGGCACAGGGCTTCCAATAATGGAAAGTCACCGCTCCACCAAGGGACGCACAGATGATCTGTCAATCACCAAAAGCAGGTGGCACTGGCAGGGAAGAGGGCATGGACCAGTTGCCTGAGGGAATGATTCAGTACCTCCACTAATGAACCCAAGTTAAATCAGCCCTCCCCTAGGCATGGCAGTAGCTCATAAACCAGTGAGGTAATCTGTGCCCACTAGGCATTAGACATGCCTGTTTTACTGTGGGATATTCACCTGCCAACAGGGGAGAGGGATTTACATTTTGAAAATGTTTTAGGTAACAACACTGTCACATTCTCAGTCAGTGGAGAAGCCAGTCTCCACTAGTTGTATCAAATAAACTCAATTTGCTGATAACTAGAGGCAATTACAGGGGAAGAGGGGAGAGAGAGAGAGAGCGAGAATGAACAATACAACACATGCTAATTTTTATTAAGACAAGGTCATTTTCCCTTTCCAAATGCATTGCAAGTAGCAATCCATCTGTAATCTACTGTGTAAGGAGGCAAAGGTGACAGTACTTCCACAATCAGCAGAACTTTATGGCACTGACTGGAACTTTCAATGGTTATATTTGCAAAGCAGCATCAAACCTTTTATGAAAGGTAGTATTTCAGTGGCTAATAAGTTTATTGGATGCTACATGAAATGTTAACTGCTACTTTTCAAATATAATATATTACTATAGAACCATGTGACAGAAAATACTACTGATATTAAAGAAGAGCCTGCAATAGAATGTTCCCCAAACAATTCATCATAATGGATATCAGAATGGTTCCACAATTCATCAGTCACTTGTTGGAAAGGATTTAATCATAAGAAAAACAGCAACAGTATGAATGTTTATTTTCACCAACAAGTAAGGTGAAACCATGGCTCTACTGAATTCAATGTGAGGTTTGCCATTGGCTTCAACAGAGTCAGAATTGCACTCTTAGTTTTTAATACAATAAGCAAAAGCCTGTTAGCAGCTTCAGGTAATTAATATTAAAAAAGTAATTTTAAAATACAACTGGTGTGTGGAGTCACAGAAACAGTCAGATTTTTTTGGATGGAATTTTGTGCAGAAAGTCTTCCAGAGTTCAGAATTGGACATATTCCCCTCCAGAACACAAAAGTGATATTAAGTAATTTATCCTGTTCTTGTTATAGTCAGCAGAAAACTTATAATAAGGTCAAGCTGGTGTTTGTATAAACAAAAGGAAGGAAGCACAGGAAAACTCCTTATTGATTGATCCCGGGTTTTGATGCAGGGTGTAAAATAATCAATTGAAATGTACAGTATTAGTTTTCACTGGAATTCCACAGTAAGAGTCTTCTTTCTTCCATTACAGGTCATCTGCCTATTTACTGTAACAGTTAAACTACAAAAAAAGAGACAGCAAAATTTGAACCCCTCAGTTGACTTTGTTGAAATAAAGTTTATATAACCCCAAGCCAGCAGATAAAACTTCCCAAGAATACTGTGATAGCAAAGCCCTGCAGAGTCAGAGTAAAACTATCTCTGTAGATCAGAAAAAGAAGAGTTGCTAGTTAAACAGAAATCCAAAACAAACACGAGAACAATGTCATCAGGATATCACGAAAAGGTAGATAAGACCAGGAGGCCAGTGTGCTAAATAGACTTGCCTTTTGCTTTTGGAAACACAAACTCAAATCCTATTTAGATCCTAACTGATGTCAGGCAGTGCTATAAACTGATACCGATGCCTTACAGATATCCTAGTCTTCAGAATGCTATTTAATTTCTTGGAACCATGATTCATTACTGTTTTCATAAGACTTATTATAAGGCCCACAATTACAATTCCCACACAGCAATAGGAAATGGGCATGAGAATTGAGTAAAAGGAAAATCAAATGGGCTGTTAACACTGTGCAGCTTGTTCTGTCAACAGCAGCCCAAACAGCATAAATATAATTTACTAACATATTAGGACATAACACCACAAAAACTAACATCCAATAAAATACAGCATGTGTACCAGTGGCCAGTGAACTGCCTCCTGCTACACAATGCAAAAAGGATTTCCATTTTCTGAAGAATGCCTGTTTGAGTCACATCTTGCCACTTAACCATATTTTTTCCCTTGCCTTCCTGATTCTTTTTTGTTTGGGGGTTTGCATTCCTTTTGTGACTGTTACTGTATCCTTTGCTGAGTGTAAGACTTTTAATTTCTATACTTTGATCTTTTTGACTACCCTCCTCATTTTTTGGAAGCCCTCCTTTTTAATCTTTAGTGTTGCAGAGCTAATTTTTGGTATAATTCTTCCCTTGAAAATGCTGAACGTAATTAAATTGTGGTAATTTTTATATAATTGTTTAGGGCATAATTGAGAATAGCCTCTCCTTCTTGTGTGTTCTAGAACAAGCTGTTCCAGAAACAGTAATGTGAGGTGTTGTGTAAGGTGCATCATTAAACCTGTCCAATTATGACATATGACTAGTTGATATATTGTTAGTTGAAGTCATCCATTGTTATTGTTTTAAAAGACTTAGAGGTCTCTTTGACTTCCCTTGAGATTGTGCACTGTGGTGGAAAAATTAACCACACTCTGTGTTTGGATCAGAACAGCCTGAGGCCCACTTTATTACAAGCATGCAGGGAGACACAGCCAGCCTAGCTGGTCTGTCTAACAAAGGAACACAGAAGCTTATATAGCTTAAAACCACATTTTGGGTATGTCTACACTACGGGATTAATCCAAATTTAGATAATTCGAATTTGGGAAACAGGTTGTATAAATTCGATTGTGCGCAGCCACACTAAGCACATTAATTCGGTTTTTAACCACATTAATTCGGTGGTGTGCGGCCACACTACCCCATTAATTTAACCACATTAATTCGGTGGTGTGCGGCCACACTAACCCTAATTCGAATTAACAAAATCGATTTTGGCGCTACTCCGCTCGTCGAGGTGGAGTTCAGAAATCGATTTTAAGTGCCCTTTAATTCGAATTAACTGGCTCTGTAGTGTGGACGGGTGAAGGGTTAATTCGGATTAACACAGCTAAATCCGAATTAAAGTCCTAGTGTAGACCAGGCCTTAGTCAAACACACTTTTCATTTGTAACATACTTTTAAACAGAAAACCAGCTCCTTATAAGGAATACAAAAGCAACAAGCTTTCCTGTTATTCACAGGTGTTTCTCTAGCAAACTTTTCCTGTTATTCACAGGTTGTACTTTTGCGGTTAAGGCTTCTAGCGATTACAGTTACATTTCACAAGACTGACATTTTTCATTCTCTCTTTCCTCCTGCCCCTTTTACACAGTTATTTTAATTAAAGTTATCCTGGTCAAAGTTTGGGCCTACTTAATTTTCCCTTACAGCTCTCAGATGGCCTGTGCACTCAGATGGCCTTTTTCTGATCAGGAGGCCAGTGATATAACTCTATTAGTATATATGTATTCTTATAATTGGGATTTTTCTAAGTATCCAAAGTACAAGACAGCAAGTCAGAGGATCTCAGTTCTATTTTTACCTTAGCTGCTAATTTAAACTCTTTACGCCTCAGTTTCACCATAGAG